CTCAGTCGGTTAAGCGTCTGTCTTCAGCTCAGGTCATGATCCCAGGGTCCTGGGATCGAGTCCCACATCGGGCTCCTTGGTCAGTGAGGAGCCTGCTTCTCCCTCTCCCTCTACTGCTCCCCCTGCTTGTGCTCTCTCTCTCTCTCTCTGACAGATAAATAAAAATCTTAAAAAAAAAATAAAAAAAATACAACGATCAAAACATGAAGAAAGCAGGTTTGTGCCACAGGAATGCGTGCATTTCTCTATTTACAAGATAGAGGGGCAGGTCTAACGGCCACTGTAGTACTGAAGACATCATGGGTCAAGAAGAGCATTTTGATATTCTTGCATCATCTGTAGCGGGCTGGGAAAATAGCCAGGGTTTGAAGGATGTGCAAGTGACCACTGGGCCCTGTCACTGTGATTCCACACACAAGGCCAATTTCGGGCAGAGACGAGGGACAATAACGTCATTTTCTTTCTCTATAGAAGTTCACAGATCCCTTACGTTCTATCTGCAAAGCCCGTGTTTTGAACGCCCGCTCTAGAGAAACAGCTGAGTGAGAATTCAGTATCAGGGAGTCAGAGGAAACCCGAAGCGAGCAAGAAATAGAGACCATGATGCCTTTGTCCTCAGAGCCCAACAAGGCCCCGCCATCCTGAGGACAGCCCTGCATCCCTCGTCCAGAAAGGGGTTAGAAAGAGGGTGCAAGAGCTCAGACCTTTGCCTGGGGCTTTGGAAACAGGCCTTCCGAGCGCCCCCGAGAACCAAGAATGTTCCCAATGGAAATGTAAGTGGGTGCAAGAGCCGGGTATAGGACCCTCCCCGCCTGGATGGCCAAGCTATCCAGAAAAGACGCCAGCCCTTACCTCGGCACCGGGTGTTCCCCTCGGCGGCCTCAAACCCGGGAGCACAGCTGCACCCTGTGACCGGCTGCTCGGCCCACTGGCCATCCTCCCGGCAGTAGAGGCTGGGGCTGGGGCCGGGAGTAGGGACGGCGTCAGCCACACAGCTCCCTGCCACGGGCACCACAAGCTCCCGAGGCACAGTCTCCGGGAAGTGGGTGAGGTTCACGGTCAGCTGGGCGCACTTCTTGTAGAAGAGATGCAGAGACAGCAGGGCCATGCAGGCTCCCTGGTCCTGGAAGGCCAGGTAGAAGCCAGCCTTGGTGAGTGGGCCCAGACGCAGTGTCTTGACGTTCACCTTGCCAGTTGCCTCGGCCCCAGGGCGCTTCCGGGTCAGGTGCTCAGCGGCCACTGTGTCCACCTGCCGGGTGAGGGAAGGGACTTGTTGCCGCGGTCCTCCACTCCCCAAGGACCAGGCAGGAGAACTGTTTCCTTCTTCCCAGCTCACCCTCTCCCTGACCGCCTCAGCTCCTATTCCAGAGCCTTCTCTCCACCTTTCCCAGCGTGCGCTTTCCTGCAGGCCCCAACATTACCCATTAATGCTTGCTGAGCTCCCACCACGTGCCCAGCCTCTGTCCCGTACCCCCTTTCTGTTCATTCACTCATCCCACAGACATTTATCAACACCTACTCTGTGCCAGGCCCAGGACTTGAAGCCAAGGGAACCGAAATGAAGGAAATAGGTATGTTTAAAGCATGATGAGACCTAGGACAGGTGAGACCCCAGGGTGGGCACCGCAGCAGAGGCATCCCAGGGGAGTTGAAGCTTCCAAGACAAGTAGGAATTGGGTAGAAGACCCAGAGAGACGGCATTCCGGGGTGAGGCATCAGCTGACACAAAGGAGGGGTCTCTGAAGGGCAAGGTGGTACTCAGATCAGAGAATGTGGGAAGCGGCAGAGGGTGGCCCAGACGACCGCCCCTGGGGGCCAGAGAGGCCCTGGCCATGACCGCTCCACATAGCAGACCACCTTCTTCCCTCCCTGGACTGGAGCCTCCTGCTTCTAGGGCCCAGTGCCCCTGCCCAGGGCCTTGGAAGCTCATCCACTGCTCCTAGGCCATGCTGGCCGGCGGCGGGCCCCAGGCGCCCGGGTACCTTGATGTAGGGGTTCTCCATCCAGGCCGGCGTGAAGGCTGTGGCCGTGTCAGCATCGCTCTCGAAGTAGAAGACGGTGAAGGTCTCCTTGCAAGAGCGCCCGGCCCGCGACAGGGAGAGGCACTCGAGCATGGTGAAGCGGAGTGTCGCGTACACGTGGACGGCTCCTCGGCGCGGGACCCAGCCGGTGCGCAGCCAGTGGGCCAGGCCCGGCGCCCGCTGCACATCACACACCTCATAGGTCCGGACACTATGCTGCTCCTCATCCAGGCCGCTCAGCTCCTCCCACTGTGGGGAGAAGGGGGTCAGCTTGGGGGTGAAGGTCAGTGGGAGGACGTCCGTCCTATAGCAAGGAGCGGCTAGAGGGAGGCGACCCCGGAGAGCGAGGGCTAGGAGGTCATATGCCCCAGCTGCTGGGATGTGGGGGGTTGGTGGCGTGCCTTGTCCCTCCTCCCTGGGTGTCCCTCCAGGCCCCGGCTCCTGGGCCCAGCTCTTACCTGCCCCTCCACCTGAGGGAACGTGACCCACTTCAGATCGGCAGTTTCCAGTTTTGTGTTCAGTAGGGTCTCTAACACAAACAGACAGACAGACAGACGGTCAGCACTGGGGGAGACACCAGGAAGACCAGGTCCCTGGGAACTGACTGAGACAGGTGGGTCCTCTTAGCTCCAAGCTGGTGGAACTGGGGCCGACTAGGCCGAGAGATGAAGAGGGGGGCAAGTCCTGCCCTCTGCTGTCCCCTTTCTCGTCCTTCTGTTTCTGAGCGCCAACCCCACCCCCCAAGGCTGGCAGGCACCGGGCTGCCTCCCCGCCCCATGGCTCCCACATCTAGGCCTCTGAGAACCGCTGTGCGCTGTGCCCTGAGGAGAGGGGAGGAAGGCCAAATGGCTCAGACAGGGTTAAAGTAGAGCCCCCACCTGGCCTGACCTGAGGAGGGCAAAGAACAGCAGGTGCGGGGCTACCCCTTCCTTACAGGGCCTGCCTCCCCGCCACTCCACAGTCCCTGCACCAGATCAGAAGCCGCTGCCTCCCTCTCCCCAACTCCACTCCCCTCTTCCAGGCCCACACCCCCTTCTCAGACCAAACCCTCCAGTCCTTCAGATCCCGGAGGGTGGTACTCTGCTCCTGAGGCCCAGCCCTGCTGCCCCCCACCCCCTGCCGCCCCCCACGAGCTCTCCCTGCTGTCAGAGGAGGAAATGCTGGAGGCCAGGACGCTTGGGTTCCTGCCCAGGCCCCCGCCTGCAGAGGCCTCACATCTGGATTTGGTTACGGGAAGGAAAAGGGGAGGAGATTTTAGGGGTGTGTGTAGGGAGGGGTGAACACACCTGGCTCCGCCCTGGCCTCAGGGGAGGGGCGTGGAGGGAGGGGTGGGGCTCTGGCGGAAGGGGGGGATTAGGAGAAACATCAGAGCCCCTTGGCAGTGGAGGGTGGAGGGAGGGTAGGGGAATCCCCCGGGAGGCCAGTGCCATGTGGGGGGCCCCCAGGAGAGCCAGCAACACACCTGGGACCAGGTTCCCCCAGCCTCCCTCCCCGCTCCCGCCCCTGCTCTGTGGGGGCCACAGGAGAGAAGGGAAGGGAAGGTGGGTGGGTGGGGCAGCCTCCTCCCAGGGACCAAGTGATGTCCACTCAAGGGCAAGGGGTCAGGCAGGACCCCAGCCAGGCCGAGGTGAGGCCTGGGCCCCCCGGGGGTGGCAGGAGCCAGCCCTGCACGCTGGGGACAGGATGCCGGGGTTCTGGGAAGGGAGTGGAGAGAGGCTGCCGTCCCCACCCTCCATTGTTCCAGCCTGGATAGTGTTTTCCTGTCTCCAATTTACACACTGTCTGTTTCAGGGCTGTCCTCCCCACGCTCGCAGCACTCACTTTCTCTCCTCCTATCTCGGGCTCAGAGAGCCTGCCTTGATCTGTCAGTTCTTCTGCCTCTCCCCTCTCTCCCCAGCTCTGTCCACCTCCCTTTCAGACTGTCGCCGTCTCTCCTCCATTTTCCACCTCCCGCCTTTTGCCTTCACGGGGCGCGAGGCCGTGGGCAGGTTACTTAACGCCTCTTTAAGCCTCAGTTTCCCCATCCGTAAAATGGGGGTGACAATCCCTCCTACTGCAGGGCTGTTGGGAAGGTGAGAATGTAAAGCGCTTAGTGCGCGCCTCGGGCTTGGAAAGCACTTAGGTGGCAGGCCCTTTCTCTTCGCCTCTTTCCCTCCCTCTCACCACACTTTGCCCTGGGGGTGGGGGACTCTCCCCACTTTGCCTGCCTTCCTCCCAGTTATTTCCCCTTCTGCCTCGGAGCCGGGCAAGGGTCTCCTCTCCCCATCCCCAGCCTTTGATCCTCGGCCCAGAGCAGCACTGCCCAGCCTCGGGGAGAGGGGTTTCTAACTGCCTTTGATTACTCCTCCTCAGCAGCGCCCCCCCCCGGCCCACCCCCCAGAGACCCCTTTGATTCCAGGCAGTGAAGGGGGGGGAAGGAGACAGCTCATTGAGAGGAGATTAGGGCTGTAGGAGGAGGGTTTATAGGGCTCTTGGCTCCCCCTCTAAGGGGTGAGGGGAGGGAAGTGCCTCATGGATGAAGAAACATTTGGGGGGGGGACACAGAAAAATCAGAAATTTAGAGAGGTGGGTAGTTAGGCTAAGTTCAGGTGCCCCGGGGGGCTGTGAAGGTCAGTTTCTGCTGGCCTGTAGGGTTGGAGAAAGGAACTCGGGCAGGGCTGGAGGGTCTAGACAACATTTAAGGGGCGGGGGGGGCAGCCTGGGGAAACCAGGGAGGGGGACTCACTGCAGCAGAGGCAGTGGCTTTGGGAGAGATCTGGGCGTTTGGAGAGTGAGCGCAGAAGGCGGCCGTCCTACCAGAGGCCCCGGGGAACAGCAGGATCAAGGTGTGAACGCTGAGGAATGGGGGGTGGGGGCAGTTTTCTGGCCCAGCACGAAGTTCTGCCCTGTCTGCAGTTCCTCCTCCAAAAACGTTTCCTCATGTTTGCCAGAGGTGGGAAAAGGGACAGAAACTTCGGAGAGATTGGAGTAGGGAGAAAAGGAAAGGCTGCCAAAAGCGCGTACAGAATCAGGGCTCAGAGTCTGGGAAGCTGCGGCAGGGGCACATCCCGGGACGGAGCTCCACTCCTTCTCTTTCCCAAACAAAAGAAAACTCCACTCCCCGCTGGGCCGCCTCCTCCCCGCCCCCCGCCCGGTCTAGCACTATTGGTCCGAAGTCTTCGGGGTTAGGGTGCCGGGCCAGGGGCAGAGAGACCGGCCCCTTCACTCCGAGGCCCAACTTTAGGGGCCCCTCGAGTGCCAGGGTGCCCCCTGGGAAACTCACCTTCTAAGGCGGCGGCGAGCGAAGCCCAGCAAAGCAGAGCCCGGAGTTCCATGGCGCCGTCTCTCTCGGGTTGGATCCGATCCGAGTTTGGGGGGCACTAGCCCCCCCAGGTCTGAACCCGCCCAGAGAGGGCAGACGCCGACTCCCCGCGCGGGACTCTCGGTCGGGGCCCTCAGCGTGGGCCCATGCGGGCGCGCCCGGCACCGACACCGGGCGGCAGCGCCCAGGTGTGGCCCCGCGTCCCCGCCGCGCGCGCGGGCGGGCGGGGAGCGTCTTCACACTGGCTGCGCCGGGTGGGCGCAGAGCGAGACGTGGCTGGAGGTCCCGCCGGGGCCTCGGGGTCCCGCCCCGGCTGGCTGGGGGTGGGCCGGCCGCTCGCGGTCTCCCCCCCTCCCTGGAGCGGTGCTGCTCGCGCCACCGGGCCGATTGCGCTCCGCGCCGGCCGGGAGGGTGGGAGCGGAGCGGGAACGGAGCGGGAGGGAGGGAGACTGCGGCGCGGGGCCGGGCGGGCCGGGGCTGGGCCGGGCTGGGACTGGGCCGGGCGGCGCCTGGCGGGGGAGGGAGGGGCGCGCGGGGGGGGCGGGGGAGCTCCCCCCTCCCCCAGCCCGGGCTCGGCGTGGGGGCCGGGGCGCGCTGATTGGAGCGCGCGCTGCTGAATAATTCATGAGAGAAGCAGAGCGGGGCGCCGAGCGGAGCAGGTCGGGAAGTTGGGAGAAAGTTTGGAGAAGGGGGAGGGGCGGCGGGCTCGGAGCCCGGGGACCGCCCAGACGTGCACAGTGGCCGTGCGCCCCGACGGGGACCGCGCGTGTCGGGGCCGGGGCCCAGCGACCCCCGGGGCAGGTCCGAACCCAGCACGCAGCAGGCAGCAGAGAAACACATCCAGCAGCACTGAGGTCCTCCCCCGAGGTGCGCGTAAACGCGCACCACGCACTCTAAGGCCGCTCCAACCTTCCTGCGGACTTCGGATTCTATTTCTGGATGCGCCCACCATCCCACAGTTGGCGCAGGGGACCATGTTTGGGGGAAGTTTTTGAGGATGGAGGGTGGCGCGTTGGGCCCCGAGGCAGCGACCCCAGCTTAGATGACCCTGGAGCGAACGTTCACACAATCTTTCAACAAACATTAGGTATTGGGGACCTACTGTGCGCGCAACATAGCGCAGGAAACTGTGGAAAGTGGGGCAACTGGCTTCAGATGGGGAGGAGTATAGAAACAAGGGAAGCAGAGTAAATAAAAGGTAGGTGGGACCGAGGGAGTAAAGGGTCTGGATGGATTCCCAAAATCACCGTCTTCACTCTCGCTGGGAGAGCTCCCGGCCGCCGCAGTCCTGACCCCTGGGGCTGGGCCGGAGCCGCTGCTGTCTTTCCCGAGGCTGTTTCCTGTCTGGCTCCTGGGGGCCCTCGGGATGTCTGGGAGGGCCCTTCCTCTCATTGCCGCCACCTCCCTCCCCCCCATCCCATCAGTTAGAGGGGAGGGTCCAGGAAAGCAGCGCTCCTCCCACCAACCCCCCTCTAGGTCAGGGCACCTATAGTGTGGGTAGCAGTTTGGATGGGGGATGCTGCCTGGAGTCCGCCAGTGAAGAGCTGGAAGGAAAGGGTTTAGACTCAGAAATTTAAGGGAGACAGAGTCTGGAGTTCCCTAGGAGCCGAGAGAGGGAAGGAGGAATCCTTGATGCCCTGAAGGGTTGGGGAGGGTGCGGGGGGGTGGGGTGGGGGACGGCCAAGCGTCTCTAACCCCGCAGAGAGGACAGCCAGACCTGCAGTGACCTCTTGTCCCAGCGCACTTATCTCCCTGCCACAAGTGGTGCTCCCCACACCCCTGCCCTTCCTCGTCGCCCTGCCTGGGTCCTGCACCGGGGTGGGGGGTCACAGAGGGCAGGAAACAGCCGGCTTGGCTGGAGCCAGGCAGACCAGCCCCTGGCCGGCAATTCCCTCCTCCCTCCCTGATTCAAGCCCTGTCTCCCTTCTCTTATTCAGCTTCTCCTCCAGGTTATCCACCCACCTCCTCACTCAGAACACACACGCACTTGTGCTTGTTCTCACTATGCACTCAAGATTCTTTCCTCTAAAAATTATGTCTCTATCTCCCCCAGAGCTCTGTGCTCAACCTCCCTTGGCCCTTGATTGCTTGAATTGTCTCATTTGGTGGGGGATACAGTTCATGCTTATGGGGGGTGTGTGTGGGTTGCATGACCTGGATGGTAGAGAGAGACCCACCCAGATGCACAGGGAAATGAGGCGGGGGTGGTGGGGATGAGGGCTGATGAGACAGAGGGGTGCAGAGGTCTAACAGCTCACCGCAGATTCGAACCTTAGATTTCTGAGAACCAGGCCCCCTCAGCTAGAGGGAAGGGAACAAGTTAGGTAAGAAAATACCCAGTCGATCCTGTGTCATGGGTCCTCAGCCCGAACCTCCCAGCATGTAATCCAATTCCCAATATCTAATGTAAATGTATACCAACCAATAAAAGAATGAAGAAATGAAGAAAAAGAATAAAGAACCTGTGACTCTTGATCTCAGGGTCATGGGTTCAAGCCCCATGTCGGGGGCTTGATAAGTAAATAAGTAAATAAACTTTAAAAATTTTTTTAAAAGTAGAAGAATGAATAAAACAAAACCTTTATTAAACATCTACTGTGTGCCAAGTGATCCCTGCTAGTTTGAAGATTTTTAAGGCATGGCTCCTGGTCTCAAGGATCTTATGATGGGGCAGAAATCCCATTATTTTCCCTTTTCATGGAGATGGTATCTGAGAGTTGCACTCCAATGCGCAGGAGTGTCTATCCTGTGGGTGTGAGGTCATTTCCTCCACCCTCCGTCCACCCAGGACCACTTCCTAGGGAAGCTAATTCATTATCCCACAGTATTATGTTACATGGGTGAGCAGCCATGTCGCTACCTGGATGGATGCTTGTTCCATAGACCCGAACAAAGCTCAAGCCCTCCTTTCCTTATTATTGGAGCACTTTCCCTGTCCTCCGACCCCAATATTAGGCAATCACCCCATTCCCTGCCCATGATCAGTATGCTGCTATCACTCATTGCCATGGGAGTACCTCTGTGGAGCATCCATCCCCCACCTCCAACAGCTGGTTGGGCTTTTTTTTTTTTTTAAGATTTTAAAAAATTTATTTATTTGAGAGAGTGAGCGAGCGAGCATGAGTGGGGGGTGGAGGGGCAGAGGGAGAAGGAGAAGCAGACTCCTCGCTGAGCAGGGAGCCTGACGGGTGCCATCCCAGGACCCTGGGATCACGACCTGAGCCTAAGGCAGACGCTTAACCGATTGAGACACTCAGGGACCCAAGATTTTTTTATTTTTAAGTAATCTCTATACCCAATGTGGGGTTTGAACTTACAACCCTGAGATCAAGAGTCCCATGCTCTACCGACTGAGCCAGCCAGGGGTCCTGGGCTTTCTTTTTGCTCTCCACACCATGACTTATTTGGAGCAGCATCGGTGTTAGGATTTTTCCTATATGTAGTAAACAACAAATCATCCCCGTTCACCATAAATTACAGAAACTGTCACTCCTTTTCCTATATCCCAGCCCCCCTCTCTTTGGGTCTGCCTCACCCTGTCACATCTAGAGTTAAGTTTACTGGAAGCCGGTGAAGTTTAAGCTTTTACACCCCTCACCCACCTGGCCCCTCCCACCACCCTGGTTAATGAGTGCCATCAATTTAAACAGTTTTTAAGGTGAATCCCAGCACAAGAATGTTTGCAGTGGCCTGAAATCTTCCGGCTCTTACACAAAAGGAATTTGGTAGAGCTTTCCACATTGCCAAGAATGAGTTGTAAAGCTCAGTGAGATCTTTGTAAACTTTCAATAATGAAAGAAAAAAATTTCAACCGGCCGTAATAGCAGGGAGACAGAGATGTAGAGAAATAGGAAATATCACAGTCATTATCATATGAAGAGGTAGTCTGGATACACATGTAAGAAAGAGGTAGGACACGAAAGTATGATTACAGGGGTGTTGGGCAATTATTTACCATACCTATCGTGTTGTTTTTCCAGATTTGGTACTATTTATAGAATTTGTCACCTTAACTTTTGCAACTGGCTGTGATTTCTACGTTTAAATAAACGTGAGGGGCGCCTGGGTGGCTTAGTCATTAGGCATCTGCCTTCGGCTCAGGTCATGATCCCGGGGTCCTGGGATCGAGCCCCATATCGGGCTCCCTGCTCTGCGGGAAGCCTGCTTCTCCCTCTCCCACTCCCTCTGCTTGTGTTCCCTCTCTCGCTGTGTCTCTGTCAAATAAATAAATAATCTTTAAAAAAATAAATAAATGTGAAATTCTTATACCTAATTTCATGTTCATAATTTTGTTTTTCTTAGGATGGGTTCCCCAAATTGTAATAACTTCAGGACTCATGAAACCTGAATCCATTCCTTATCTGACCACCACAAATCTTGCTGAACTCATCATACATGAAGCTGTAATAGACACACATGTCAAAGCTTTCATTAATTTATTAGTGATTGTATTTTGATTGTTTGTGGCCCCAAGTTTCATGAAAGCAGGTACAACATATGTTGTGCTCACTGCTGAGTCCAGTGTAGGTCTGGCCCGTAATAAATACTCAGTAAATGTGTTAACTACTTATTCCTTTAAATCATTATTTTTTAATTCACTTGGCAATTCCTTTAAGATTTATTTTAGAGAAAGAGAGTGAGCGAGGGGAGGGACAGAGAACCCCAAGTTGACTCCCCACTGAGCGCAGAGCCCCACACAGGGTTCCATCTCACGACCCATGAGATCATGACCTGAGCTGAAATCATGAGTCAGACGTCCCTCACTCAGCAATTCTTTTTTTTTTTTTAAAGATTTTATTTATTTATTTGAGAGAGAGAGAATGAGAGACAGAGAGCACAAGAGGGAAGAGGGTCAGAGGGAGAAGCAGACTCCCCGCCGAGCAGGGAGCCCGATATGGGACTCGATTCCAGGACTCCAGGATCATGACCTGAGCTGAAGGCAGTCGCTTAACCAACTGAGCCACCCAGGCGCCCCACTCAGCAATTCTTTATTGAAGTTTTGCTATGGACCAGGACTGGGGACCCAAAGTCATCCTTCACGGCCCAGGGGAGTAATTAGGCATGAAACTTCAATAGAACACAGGAGGCTATGTGTGGAGCATCAGTGGTGGCGTCCAGAGGGTCCTATGGGATTACCGGGGGAAGCACACCTAATCC